GATGGCAAGGATCTCCTCGGCCGGCCGAGGAGTCTGCTCGATGAGGCCGTGCTTCTCGGCGTAATCGAGGATGGTGCCGACCGAGTGGGTGAGGGTTACCCCCGACCGTTCCAACCTCGGCCGCCAGTGGCGGTCTTTCTTACTTTGTCCACCAGAGCCGTGGCGGCCCTGGGCACCCTGGCCGGCCGGGGACGGACCCGAGGCCGGCGAAGGATTTGTCTTCTTGGGGGGATGGCCCCCCTCTCTCTTGTGATTGTGGAGCTCGTCGGCGTCGGCATACAAGCCTCCGCGTTGGAGCGCCTTGGCGTACGACCTCGGGGGGTCAGTGATGAGGCTCCTGGCGTACGGGGAGCTGCGGAGGGCTCCCTGGTACAAGGCGAGGAGGGTGCGCTCATCGGCCCCCTCGACCTCCTCGGTCTCCCTCGTCCACCGGTCGATGAATGACCGGAGGGACTCCTCGTGATGCTGTTTGACGGAGAGGAGGTGGGTGAAATACTTCTTGGCGCGCTTCCTCCCGGCAAAGTGAGTGAGGAAGCGCTGGGCGAGATCCTGCCATGAGTCAATGCTTCCCTCTGGCAGTCCGTTGAACCACTCGTACGCTGGCCCCTCGAGAGTAGAGAGGAACCAACGGCAGAGGTATTCGTCGGACGCGTTCACCATCAGCATGTTGTTTTGATAACGGCTGAAGTGCTCCTGGGGGTCTGATCGGCCATCGTAGGACTTGATGGCGTTCCCCCTGTACTTCTCAGGGATGGGGGCCGAGAGGACCCTGTTGGTGAAAGGGGTCCTAGTCCTGACCTGGATGATGGGGTCACCCCGCCCTTCGGCCAGCTCCCTCTCCAGGGCGCTGACTTTGTTCATGAGCGCGTTGAGGCCGGGGTCGTTGGAGGCGCCGGCCGTAGGGATGTTGGCCGACTGCTTGGCCTCCATCTGAGCCAACCTCCTTTCCAGCTGGGCGATGACCTCGTCCCGGGGGTCCCTGTCGGCGGCACCCGGCTGGTTCCTCAGGCGCTCGTTGTGAGCCGCGTTGATCTGGTGACGCACGTCATCCTCGTGCAACTTCCCCTTGCCCTTGTCCGGGCGGGGCTGGTCCGCTGTCCGGGACACAGACCCCAAGCTTTCCCTTGGCGAGCCAGGACGAGGATCACCAATCCGTCCCGCCATCCTCTCCGAAACCGGACGACGGCGCGTGTCACCTAGCCTATTGAAGGCGGAGGCTTTTCCATGCGCTGGGGTCTGCCCGGGCCGAAGAGGGGAAGCAGGGTGGGAGTGGGACGACGTCGTGTCCTGGGCCACAACCCCCTCATTGTTGCCTATCTGGTCGGTCAATGGTTGGGGATGAGGAGGTGGAGTGACGTTTCCCCCGGTCCTTGGCAAGAGTGCGCTGAGGACGGTGGGATTCTGAGCCAAGCTGGCGATGATAGCCGATAGTGCGGCCTGGACCTGAGGATCTACGGACGGAGAGGCCGCGGCCATAGGCTGGGCCGGGGCGTGGTCCACTTTCTCAGCTCGTTTCTTTTCCAGGCCGAGGCGGGCGTCGGGGACTCCGCCGTTGAGTTGGTTGCGGAGGTCCGTCGTGAGGTTGAAGGCCTCCTGGAAGAGGTCCCCTCCGCCGACCTGGTCGGCCGTGGCGTCCTCATCGTGCTCCCTGGGCTCTTGGTCCTCAGGGATGACTTTGCTGACGAGGTTGCGGTTTGACTTAGTTCTCCCCATGATCAGTGGTTAGCTGTGCTTGGTAGCGACGAAGGGTGCTAACTTGATTGTTCTAGCTCTCAACGAGAGCACCAAATGATGGAGTATTAACTCCTAGATTCTAGAGAGAAGTGAGAGCTAGAGAGAGAAGTGCAATAATCTGCTTCAATAGAATGATTTTGTAACCCCTATAACTACTCCCAAGGGGAGTATTTATAGAGAAAATTAGGGTTGGGCTCCCAAGCCTTGGGCTTGGGAGGCCCATTTACAACTGGACCGCTACTGGGCCGAATACAAAGCCACTAATGGGCTGTACAAATGAGTAAGTATAGGATCCGATTCTGGGAGGTCCTCGTGGCCGACAAGGGCGTGGCCGACGAGGGCACGGCCGACGGGGGCACCCGGGTTCCTTGGACTCAGGATCATAATCCGGGTTGGCTTCTTCTCGGCCGACGGGGGCGTCTGGGCCGACGAGGGCGCCACTCTGTTGTCTTGTGCTCTGTTCTTCCGAGTATGTGGGTCCCGGGGCTCAGACCCATATACTCCATCAACGGGTCTTTTCACGGATTACTTGCCCCTCGAGATTGAAGTTTGATGCTATATTATTAAAATATTTCATTTAATATTTATTTTTTTGTTTTGTAATTTTCTATCAAATTTATTATTGGGAATTAATAAATGGAAGGAGTTTTGGAACACTTGTCTTTGAATTGGGCAGAGGTAACGGACTGTCGAAATTGTGGCCCTTCATCATTAGGAGCGTAGCCTTACCTACTGCTCCCATCTTGGAAGAAAATTTCCACGCACCTTCAACAATTGATTGGGCCAACTGAGAAGTTGACTTGCTCAACTGAGACCCATACACCAAATCCTTCTCCTTCATGCGAACAAGATAGGCAAGCCAAAGTTTGAGAGGGGAAGATACCTCTGTCACTGCTGCTGGAGAAGCGAAGGGCGAAGGCATTCTGCCGGAAATTCCCACAATGAGGTTTGGACTATGAGCAAAGCTTCCAGGTAGCCATTAATGGAGGATGTTTGAGGTCGGGCTCCAACAACCGCATCAAATGGTAAGTGTGGGTTAGACTCTAACCGTCGAGCTGCGCCAGTGCAGGACAGTAGCGCAACAACTAGGAGTAGGGCTCGAACGTGATGGAGCTAGTTGTGGGTTCTCTAGTCCGTAGATTTGCAGCGTGGCGTCTGGTGTGACGTCGATGTCTTCATCACCACTGTCCATAAGAGATCTGGATGACGGCGGCGAGAACGGAAGGACAGCCCAGTCTCAAACAACACACAATGACTGCCGGAGCAACGACAACGACGAGATCTACCGCCATGGCAGGAAGATATGGAGCAACGGCCGCGAAGTTCAGCCCGCACGCCGTCAGCCACAGTTCCAACTCGGATCCAGAGATTTCCAGTCCGAAAATTTTAGCTTTTCTTCTTCGAATTTGATGGAATTTTTCAAATCGATTTCGACTGATTTCTTGTATTTTGGATGATTGTTTGAATGTTTTTGGGAGGATTTCTCACTTGATTTTGCTCAAACTCTCAATGAAAGCACCATTGATGGTTATAGGGATCCAGACATATAATTAAATGGGAGGTTTGAGCTAAAGAAAGGGAAGAAGATGAATGAATAGTGATATTGTTCGTGTAATAATTATTCTAGGGTTTACAAGCTTCAAAAGGAGTATATATAGAGAAATCTGGGTCTGGGCCTCTAATATGGGCCTGACAGACCCGGTTACATAAAAGAACTAATAACATAAAAGGCTAATCTAGAACATCTGAATAATAATGTACAATAATATGAATGACATCCGATAAGCGTGGGTGGGCCGCTGTCTGGGCACAATAGTCGTGAGACCCGGGGGTCCGAGTCTATATACTCTATCAATTAACATTAAGTTCAATCAACCTCGTAAATCATTTTTGCAAAATCAAATTGGGATGAAGAGAGTATATTATTATTATTTCTTGTTGTTGTGCATAATTAATAAAAGTGTCACGTAGGGCCAGGGTTGGCCACCCCCTAACTACACCCTATTAAATACGATAGTATCATTTCAAAGTTAATGAAATGAGATTGAGTAATTCTTATCGAGCAATCATAATAATGATACAATTATATAAATACCAATATTAACTTTGATAATCATTTACTAAAAGTGCACTTTTTGAATGATCATACGGATGAGTTTTTTCAATTTAACAAATTTATAATAAAATGAATACTTATATATTTTGTACACTATCCGGGACATTTCATTTTGCCGGCCAGATAACTTTACATGTTTACATTTTTTTCTCCACTCGTTTCTCCTATTTTTTCTCGAGTTTGTTTTTCCGTTTTTTCCTTCACTTTATTCTCCTACTTTTTCTCTCATCTCCTGTATCGTTTTCCAGTATTATTCGTTTATTCATTCTTCTAATTAAATGTTTCAATTAAATGTTATCAACCAATAATAGAGAGACACATCAGCGGTTTATAACTGTGTTTTACCATATAAATCAATAGATGTATCACCGCATGTTTGTGTCTTATACTTGAAACGTTAGTTATTTTACATTTACCCATTTCTCAATATTTTATGTGTCTCATTTGACTTTGGCACAATGATTAATAAAATGGTTGAAAAAGTAAAAGTTATGGTTGGAATTTGAGTGTAATAAAATGAAATGTTATAGATCACATATTTCTTCAAAAAAAAAAAAGAAATGTGACACTTATTTTGTGACAATCGAAAAGGAAAGTAAGACAGATAAAATGAGACTAATTTTTGTAAATGTGAACATCCAAAATATTCAATTTTTATAATGTTCATTATTAAATAATCAAATCTTTTATTTTGGAAATTTATTTTACGTATATTATTAAAATTGTACGTGAAAATCAAATTCTTGTAATTAAATTTGGGGTGGTACAATTTATGAAATCTGAAATCGAAAATGGGAACAAATTGCTGAGTTTTATTCATGGGAACCGAAGATTGAACAACATTCATCACGCCTTCGTTAATTTATTATTTACGGGTGTACCTAGCTGAACTGGTAGCAAGGGAGTACCACATGGGTTAGGTTCCGAGTTCGAATTTCGTCAACTACGATGAGGGATTATTATGCTAAAAATGCATAGGGCCTCTGCAAGTATCGGGTACAGAGCCCCACCTTCTATCTGTCAGATTGGGATTATACTCCAATTTACGTACTCCCAACGTACGGTCCGGTAGGTATTGGGGCCTCGGTCATCCTTTTTTAGTTAATTTATTATTTCTTCGAGGATGAACTCAAATTTCCACTGATCACAGATTCGACAATTGACCCTATACAGTTCAGAAAAATATCTCTCCCTTTAAACTTCTACAGGATGGCTAAGCCCGCATCGGAATCCCGCAACAACAGAGCTGCCGTTCAGGCCACAAACGACGATGCGTCCGCCAGCAAACTGTACTAGCATAATCCACTAAGACGCTTTATTTCCTATGCACCCCCCCTTTTGTTTTATCAAAACTTGGATTAATAGCTGTGCAGAAAGAGAAACAGTGAATTCCCAAAATAGGAGTAAAAATATGCAGGAAATGAACTCGTCCTTTGTTTAATCTGTTGTGTCGGATGAGCATTTATTTGTTCACTTAACGATTCTTTTTATTTCGATTGATGTGCATGAATTGAAGGTCATGCGTGAATAAAGGATACATAAAAGATGATTATGTCCACTTATTTGTTAGAAGGCCAGTCAGGCGATCTCCAATAATTAATCGTGGTACTACTGTATTCCATTTCATTATTTGAACTCACAGATGACACTGGATTTGCTTGTACAAGTAAAGTGCTCATTGATTTTGAAAATAATTTGTGTCATAAGGTTATTTTGCACGATGGGCTGTACTTCGGAAGCTTCTGTATCAGTTTCTTGATTGTGAGCCAAATCTGGGTGACAAAGGGAGATGTAAGAAACAAATTGTGTCTCTGGGAGCTGGATTTGACACAATGTATTTTCAACTAAAGGTGCATAATCTTTTGTGAGCTATTGTTGATTTCACATACAGTAACTTCTAGTTTGGTATCTGGTTTTCATTTCCTACTGTGTATAAGGTCTGTTCAGTATTGGCGTTGGCCTTTGAGATTCAGTATGCACTGCAAATTCATATGTTTTGGGATTACAAGTCATTTATTCATTTGCTTTATTCTAAATTAGTGCGATAAGTCTATTTAGGAAACTTGGAACGTAGTTAAGTTGAACATTCCAATTAGGGGAGTTTTACTCTGTTGGAAGCTGTGAAGCATAAGCACTTATATGCATCTCGGACTTTCTGAACACAGATACAACAGGGGCACCCTGAATATGTGCCCCCCTTTCCCCAAAATCAGGACACATGAGGCACCTTGAGGGCACAACACTAGGGTCTTTAACTTTTTTAGTAACTCTTAAAAAATAAAGTAGGACTAAAGTTTCAAAGAAGAAACAAACAAAGTCACAGATAGAGTTCATACCAATTTTCTCTCTTCTGTTCACTCTTTGTCAATCTCCCATATTTTTTCAAATTAGTAATCGCAATTGTCATACAATCATACAGATGGACCAGAAGTTGAGTTTTTGACAGATAAAAAGGAAGGAAATGAAGTGCTTGAATGTTGAAACCTTGAAATATTTCTGAGGCATTTGTACACACGCACACATAAAGCTGTTGTGTCCTTGGCTCCTCGCAAAACCAATGTCTCATACTTTTAAAAGATACCATTACCTGCCCACTGGCTATTTAGTACTCCCTTCGTATTTTAATGTTCACTACATTAGGTTGGACACATTATTTAAGGAGTAAAGTAGCAGGGGTAGTGAATAGTGTAGAAAAAGTAGGAGAGAGTGTGTAAAAGTATGAAAGAGAAGATAAAAAGTAGATAAAGTAAGGGTAGTTGAGTATTTTATAAAGGGTAAACTTACCAAAAATGGAAATGTAGGGAACATTTGAATACAACCCAAAAAGGAAAGTGTAGGGAACTTTTAAATATGGAGGGAGTATATTAGTGTGACAATTGAGTTGCACATAGCACAGAGAAACACCAGTAATTGATTAAAGGGGCATTCATGTTTGATATGACTACTTTTTTCTTTTTGACATTGTAAGGGTTCTTGTAAAGCTTTTATTGATATAGATGGTGGTGCTTACCACTAGGAGGAAAATAAATATTTACTTTTTTTGAGATCATTTCATACTACCATACTAACTAAGCTCATGGAAAAGTAATTCCCATGAATATGTTAAATGAGATTCTTTGTATCCGGGAAAAAGAACCATAATGTGTACCATCCTTAGGCACTTAGGTTGGATTTCTTTTCCTTGATTTTAGGAATCACTTTTGCATCCACTCAAACTTTCCGAGTCAATGCACATACCAAATATATTACTAACTTTCTTAATTTTGAACTTCACTAGCTAGTAGCTACCCAACATTATCTTAGGATTTGTTTCATAATTTCAGGTAATGGCAATGGCCAGACGTAGATTTCCACCCCTTAATAGTTTTTTTTTGCCATTGTATGTCTGGATACACCCTTTAATCTTTTGGGAATAAGGCTTGGTTGTTGTTGTATGTTCCGGATGCACCTTGTTAAAGAGAATGTGTGATACTTAATATTTATTTTATCTCTTGCATATATATTTGATTTTCTATATGATTACCATTTCTTTTTATATTTTTGTTTTGCAGGATGAAGGGAAAGCACCATATATGTATGTTGAACTAGATTTCGTAGAGGTGTGACTTTCTCAGATAAAATGACTAATGGCTCTAAATTTAGAGTCAAGCTCTTTATTTTCTTCTGTGGATTGTGACTGTATGCACCTCATCACCTCATGTATGTTGAGTTAGTGGTTGTTTTGTTGTATTGCTATTAGAAAGAACACTTTCTTCTATGGAAGGCTTAAAGCACTATATGCTATGAGTTTAATGCACCAAACCTCCTCATGAAATATAAATTCGGCGCATTAACCCATGTGGTTTAAAAATGCGTCAAACCCCATTGTGTTATTGTTATTCATGTTCAAAACCTCTCTATGAACAAATTTAATTAATTGCCATTTTTTTGGATATTTTATAAATCTTGACAAAGTTACTTGCATATTGAATCATATTATGAAGACAAGTGATTTCAAAATTGTATAATTTGTTCTAGGAGGGGGTTTTGCGCATGGACAATTATAACACTGGGGGTTTGACACATTTTTAAATCACAAGGGGCTAATGCACCGAATCTATATATCATGTGGGAGTTTGGTGCATTAAACCCCTATATTATGGATGACAACTAACAACCTTCCCTGTCAAAATTCACTAACCCTAATTCATAACCTTGCAAGACATGCATCTCATCCCTGACTCTTGGTAAGAACCCTACCCCGTATGAACCACATATTATGGTGCTTTTATATATTTCATTCCTTATCCTTTTGATTTTATTTTCCCAGTCTATGAGTTCCCTTATTTTTGTTACACAACAACAATATCCAAGCCTTAGTATCAAAAGAGTTTGGTGTTGGCTAACATAAATCGGCATATGAAATCGGAGCTAAAAAAGACAAAAGATAAGATAAAAAAGATAAAAAGATAAAAAAGATAAGATAAAGAAAAGATAAAAAGATAAAAAAGATAAGATAAAAATAATAAGATAATAAGATAAAGAACATAAGAAAGATAAAAAGATCGAAAAGATGAATTAGATCAATCGTCCACCCAAATATGCTTCCTCCACTTCGCTCTCTCCAAAGTCATACTCTCATCCAACCCACGAAGTAGCATATCACTCCTGGCTCAGTAGGGGTAATGCAAAACGCAATCCATGAATCCATTTTATTGCTACGTTACAAGCATTGGATGACCCCTAATCTCAATGCCACCGACAAAGATATCCTTTGCATTCCCAACTCAGCTATCCTTAACTCCAGTGTGCACTAATTAGGAATTTCCTTGTCTTTTTGTCCTCCACGTGAGTGTAAATTGTAAAATTTGTGGAAAATTGTTTTCCAGGTGACTAGCAAAAAGGCGTCTCTTATTGAAAACTGCAGGCAGTTGAAGGAAAAAGTTGGTGAAACAGCATCCATTTCTTCAGGTAAACCATGAAAAAGGTGTTTAGTTTGGTGTTTCATTACCTATTGCCAGTCTATTGGTATACATGGGCCATGGGGACTATAAATTTATGCTGGTCTAGAATTTAATAATTCTTCTAGATGCTGAAAAACACGTTGATTTTATTCCTCTGAATTTTGGCGTATGCATGGAAGTATAAATAGTTGTAGACCAAGTTGCCAAGTCATCCTATTTGTTCAAAAGCATTCCATGATTGGTACGGAATTATAGAAATAATTTTGAAGATATCATACCACATGAGGCTGACAAGCTGTTAACAAAAACTAGAAGAAAGAATACTTAGCCTTCGAACTTTATTCTGTGATGCAAAATCAGTTCCAAAGCTTTAAACAAACTTTACATGCTTCTTTATTAACTTCATTACAGAGTTTCATTAATCAAACATCTGTTTCTTGAGGTCCTCTCAAGTCTGAAGCAGTAGATTCACTTGTTACCATTGTCTTCCGTTTTCTTTCATGTGATTTGTGTACTGTTGAATAGATTCAGCAAGTACAGAATACCGATTTTAAATACCCTTTCAGATGTACAGTATATTCTTAAGGTTACTTAATTGACTTGTTTGTCACTCTGAAAATTTCGGTTTGGTGATTTTGGTAAGAGCTTGTTAGTACACATTCTTCTCTAAGGCCTATTTGAAGGATTGGGTGAAGATGTCATCATCATCATCATTATCATTACCGTAGTGCTACAAAGGCTCCCACCTACGGTGGGGTTGGGGGGGGCAGGGGGCGGTCGGGTGTACGCAGCCTTACCTCTGTACTAAAACACATAGAGACTATTTCCGGATAACCCATGGTGAAAATCGCGTAAAAAATTGCATGCATTGACTGCTGCTTCATAACAAAGAAGTGCAGGCAGTTTAGTGAGTCATTTTGCTTTATTCCATCATATTCCTAAGCCAAAAATAGCGAGTCTTTGGGTGAAGATATGTTGACAGAATTTAGAGAGACTGGCATTATCAAAGTGGACCTCATTAATTTTGGGATGGCATGAGGTGATTGATGAAGTGAGACTCCTATTTATGCTAACATTCTACTCACAAAGTCTTGGTGGATAAGTCAATAGTCCTAAATCCAGTATAATATTGCTAATAATAATATTAACTAAAATAGAATACCAATAACAGGAAACTATCATGAATGTTAGACTTGTATTAGAATGTTTCTTCTGCCCCATGGTGAAGAACCAGTGACAATTGGCCTTGTTGATGTCCCTAGTACGTCCTTTGAGTATGGAATGTAATGCAAGAATGTAGTTGTGTTAACCGTTAAATATCATAATGCTAATCCAATATGAGAGCACTACCCAATCTAAAGAGTATAATACAAATCTGAAGTCTAAACTTGAAGAGAAGCAAGAGTCAACGGGGTTACGGAGTCCTGTTGTCTTGCTGCATTCCCACTCTGTCAATGGGGTTACGGATTTTCACAGAGTATCTTTCCTCGTTCTAACAAGAATGTTGCATTGGAATATGATTTTCCTTCTTATTCTTTCATGGGAAAAGGGGCAAATAAGCCCTCAAACTAACCCAAAAAATGCAAATTACCCCTTTTATAGGAGGCTCTGTCCATACCAAATGAGGATCTTCTTCGTAAAGTCTAGTTTACCCATACCAAATTTCAGCTAAAAATGCAACCGGGAAGGCAGTCAAATAAATGTTTGAAGATAACTACGCAGTATATTTCAGATAATCATTTTATTGCCTTCTCGGTTGAATTTTTAGCTGAAATTTGGTATGGGTAAACTAGACTTAATGAAGAAAATGCTCAAAAATTTTCACCAAAAATTTCCACCGGGAACCTCCCCAAATGGCGACGGATGGACAGAGCCTCCTATAAAAGGGGTGATTTGCAGTTTTTCGGTTAGTTTGAGGGCTTATTTGCACCTTTTCCCTTCTTTCATTTGTTCATGTGTAACTTCAAACTAAAACAAGTGCTTACACTTGTGTGAGCTGTTTCCTCATTCGTCCATGCCATCTTTCCTCGCAATTTGCACAGACACCCTTTGGTTGTCATTTTTCTATTTGTAGCTGGATTGGGTCTTTGAAGGTCTGCAGTGTAAACCTTGTCTGATGCTACCCCAAGAGTCGTAAGAAGCAGGTCAGTGTTGGCCATGGCCCGATGTTCAGGCTTACCCATAGGGAAGCTTAAGGAGGCACCAAACTTGGAAAACGTAGTCCGATGCTTTGGCTAGACTAATTAACTCTATATTGTGCAGAGAGGGGGGAAGTTCTTGGTGATCATTACAAATTGCTTCCTGTTGATCTGTGTGATCTCGATAAACTAAATGGTATTGTTGCTATGGCAAATCTAGACCCAAGGTATGTAACATGTATGTCTTTTTATTCTTGATAAAATTACTTTGTAATGCTCCAAAATTAAGGTTCTATACATATCCCATGCCCCATTTTGCAATGCTTAGGACTATGGATTAGTTTTTGAAGAAGTCTATACTACATAGTACATAGTGCATACTCCCTCCTACAAGAGGATTTGGAGTTTTCCCCCAAAGATGGGTAGTTTTCAATCTTATTTCCCAAAAAGGGGTAGTTTTAAACTTATTTCCCAAATAAGAGTACTTTTGCCTTGTCACCCACCATGTCAACACAATTGTCATGTCCACCTATGCCTTGTCACCACAATGGCCACGTCACATATGCCACGTCATCCATTGACTCTTCCTATCATCTAACATAGGTGTGCTAAAAAATGATATAAAAATTCATGGCCGGGGGGAATTGAACTCATGACATAGCATACACAATATAAGCTCCACACCACTAGGTTAACTCATTCACTTGTGCTAATTTCTCCCTTGGTAATATTTTAACTATACACATGTTAAGTTCTGGAGCGTACAAACTTAACTCATGTATTACTCGTTTCTTGAAAAATACATCTTTCTTATATAGTTTTAAAATATAATAAATCCATTATAATTTCATATATTAAATTAAAAATAAATACATAATTAATACTCCCTCTGTCCCAAAATGATAGTCCTGTATTTCCTTTTTGGGATATCCCAAAATGATGGTCCTGTTTCCCTTTTTGGAAAGAAAGATGTGGTCCATATAATTTCATTTTATTGTACTCAAATCTCAACCACAACTTTTACCTTTTCAACCACTTTATTAAAACTTGTGCCCAAAAGAAATGAGACTATCAAATTGGGACGGAGGGAGTATACTAAAACTTAATTTTGGATGTGAAATTAAAAACTAAAAATAATTCAACACTGAATAAAATAAATGTAAATAAGTGTAAATTCTGATTGGCTCACACCAAATTTAAAAAAAATATATTATTAAATTAAATAAATTGTAAATTCATTTATATATTTATTCTTTATTTACTTATTTATTTACTTATTTATTTACTTATTTATTTATTCATTTATTCATTTATTTTACACTTTTTATTAGTACCTATACATTAATAATATTATTTAATTATCTCAAATTAAGGTTTCTTAAAGAACTACTTCGTAAAACACTTTTTTAGACAAATTTTTAAGTATTGAGTTGATCGCAGGACAGACTACACATAATTTTTCTTAGATAAATTTTATCAATATTTTTACATTAGTAATATTTTTAATGGAGTATCTCAAATTAATATTTTGAGTAAATTAGTATATTAGTAACTTATTGAATAAGTTACTAATAGTTTTAGTAAATTAGTAAATTAGGCCGAGTAAATTAGAAAATTAACAATTCTTTAGTTTGTAAATAAATAAATAAATACATAGATAAATAAATAAATATATAATTACATATATAAATGAATGAATGAATAAATAAATATAAATAAATACATAAATACATATATAAATAAATAAGTATATAAATAAATAAATACATATAATTTTTTACACTTTATCTACATTAATAATATAAGTTTTGTTTTTAAATTTGATTTGAGCTTGGGCATAGCATGACACTTATTTACATTTATTTTATTTCGTTTCACATCCAAAATTAAGTTTTAGTATATTTTAATTATTTATTTATTTTTAATTGAATATCTGAAATTATTATGATTTTATTATATTTTATAACTATTTGAGAAAGATGTAATAGTTTTTTCAAGAAACAAGTAATTTTTTACGTTCCCGAACTTAACATGTGTATAGTTAAAATATTACTAAGGGAGAAATTATCACAAGTAAATGAGTTAGCCTAGCGGTGTGGAGCTTATGTTGTGTATGCTAGGTCACTGGTTCAATTCCCCTTGGCCACGAATTTTTATAATATGTTTTAGCACACCTATGTTAGATGATATGGAAGAGCTAATGGATGACGTGGAATATGTGACGTGGCCATTGTGGTGACAAGGCAGAGGTGGACATGGCAATTTTGCTGACATGACGGATGACAAAGCAAAAGTACCCTTATTTGGGAAATAAATTTAAAACTTACCCCTCTTTGGGAAATAAGATTGAAAACTTGGGAAAAACTCAGAGGATTTGAAAAATAGTAGGGGTAGTGAATAGTGGAGAAAAAACAGGAGGGAAGGTGGAAAGGTATGAAGGGGATATGAAAAGTAGAAAAAGTAAGGGCAATTGAGTATTTTTATAGGGAAAACTTACCAAATAGGGAAAGTGTAGCAAATAAAAAAATACTTCCCAAAAAGGAAAGTGTAGCAAACAAAAGAATACGAAGGGAGTATTAAATTACTTCTGGATTATCAGCTTAGATAATCTAAAATGGGTTGCACTACTCATGATACTACAGTCTTTGCCAACTATGTATAGAGCAGTTAAAAGCCGATTTTTTTATGCTCATGCTCTTAGGAGAGTGGTGGTTCATGTTCATTTGAGATTGTTCGTGTATGACCATTGCTGATTATTATCCACCATTCTGATGTTGTTATCAGTTTGCCAACATTCATAATTGCAGAATGTGTTCTAATATACATAGATCCAGATTCCAGCCGTGCTATTGTCAGTTGGGCATCAAAAACTTTCTCTACAGCAGTTTTTTTTTTATACGAGCAGGTTGGGAAGTACTTTAGTCCCTCATTCTGTTTCCTCTATTCTTTTCCTTGAATTATACTCATGCTTGTTCGTTAAAATGTGACCTTTTATTGTAATTAAATGTTTGTATGCTGTTGTTTTTACCTGTGCAACAGATTCACCCAAATGATGCTTTTGGGAAGCAAATGATCCGAAATTTAGAGGTATTATCAGCTATTGTTTCTGAGTATTAAATTTTGGTAGAACTAAATGTCACGCCTATTATATGATGTGCTCTCTTTATTGGAATTCATACCTGAAGCACAATACTTTCCTTCTTTTTCATTCACTCTGTTTGGTGATTGCCATTTGTTGGATATAGAGATTTGTTTGACGTAGTCATTCATTTTTACCTGAGTTATATGTCTTCTTTTATTGCTTTGAGATGTTTGGATAACTATGAATGGCTTTCAAACATCTAAATATTTCTGGCTTATAGTGCTTTGAAATGACTGCAGTGATACTCATTAAAGCTTTATTTATCATAGCTGAAAACACTTGTTTTTACCTTTCATTTTAGTGTCGAGGTTGTGCATTATTAGGAATTTACGCTACACCCACTCTGGAAGCAAAAGAAAAGCTTTTCCTGAACCAAGGATGGCAGGTATTTTGGAACTTTATATTTTAGTTGTGCCCCTAACCATCATCACCCCACTCAACTACGATAAATTTCTAACAGCCATTGTTGTTTTTTCATTATCATGTTTAGATAGCAGTGGCTTGGGATATGCTGCGAGTTTATATTGATTTTGTTGAATCTCAAGAAAGACGCAGGTGTGTACCTATGATAGAGAGCAGGAAGAGAATGGGGTGGGAACAGGCTTGGGCCACTTCCGTGGGCCGGTTATGGGCTGGGATTATAGTTTTGCTTATCATTATAAAGTTTATGTTATGTTTTAGTATGGGCCTATTATTAGTAGAGTATTAGTAGAGTTGATATGTGCTTAATTAGGATTTAATTAATTTGGGCTCGATTAGGGTTTCTGTTGAGTCTCTTACTAGAAGACTATTTATAGTCCTTGTCAGGGTTCATTATATATCGGTTTGGGCAACGATTTAGATCGTTGATTATCTGGGCAACGGTTTACCCTGTTGGTTTTTATTTTTCTGTTCACAACAATTGGTCCGACCTGCCGGATCCCGTCCCGCCAAGATGACGAGATCTCAGAACGATTGATTGACGTAGATGGAGACCGAGCAAAACTGAATGGGAGAGGAGCAAGCCCGATTGGGGGCTGAGCAAGCACCAGATGAATCACACTCTGGAATAACACAGCATGCGGCTGCTGAAATCGCTGCATCCCTGGCAGCGCTAACCCAGGCCTTTGTGCCGCCGGTCTCGCAGGAAACTTCCTCGGCTGTGGTAAGAAGTGCTGCTGTGACAGCACCCAGCGGCGACAGACTGCTGCGCAACACACCTCCAACCTTGCTGCCCATGTTTGACGGAGAAGACCCGATCGGGTGGATAGCTCGTGTTGAACAACAATTCGAATTGAACGGAACCCTACGGAGAAAAAGGTGTCAACCGCTGTGGTTAACATGGAAGCCCCCCCCCCCCCCCCCCCCCCCCCTCTATTGGGTAACCTGTCTGAGAGTGCGCAAGCCTGGCATGACCTGGGAAGGATTCAAGCAAGCTTTGATGGCCAGATTCGACTCCCTATTTAAAGGGAACAAGTTTGAACGGCTGTCCGGCGTCAAACAGATTGGATCAGTGGAGGACTACAATACCCTGTTTGTTCAGTTGGCCAGCCAAGTTCCGGAATTGTCTATCATTTTCATTTTCATTTACCCCAGTGCCGCAAAGGCTCCCACCTACGGTGGGGTAAGGGGGGGTCGGATGTACGCAGTCTTACCCCTATACTAAAGCACAGAGAGACGGTTTCCGGATGACCCACAGTGAAAATCGCGTCCAAAATTGCATGGACTGACTGCTGCTTCATTACAAAGAAGCGCAGACAGTTTACTGAGCCATTTTGCTTTATTCCATCATAATCTCAAGCCAAGTTCCGGAATTGTCTAATGAACATTATTTGGGATACTACATGAATGGACCGAAAGAATCAATTTGAAGCTCGTTGCGCTTATTTCGATCGAATAACTTGGAAGAGGCCATGTAATTAGCTCGCGATGCGGAGTACAATCTGTTGATTCAGTCCAAATTACAATCCTACATGGACACGTTCCAGCAGCTTTTCACTGCCAAAATGGGTCCTCCGTTGACTGCCAGTGGTGGCAGCATACAAGGATCGAATGGCAGCTTCCCTAAAGATAGTAGGCAGCCCCCGGGGACAAATTCAGGGCTGTCCGGGCAGTCTACGACACACTCTCTGTTCACTTGACTCCCGCTGAAAGAGTTAACAGAATTGCGGGCAAAAAGATTATGCTTTAGGCGTAAGAAACCATTTACACCAGGGCATGACTGCCCCTTTAAGCAGTTGTGGGTAATGATAGCCGATGAGGATGAGGAGTTGGACCTCCAACAACATGAGTATTGTGAAATAACCGGCCAAGAAAAGGTTCAGAAAGACCAGGGAGATGAAGGATATTTGCCAGTCTATTATGGCTGGAAATTTCAGCCCTCGATCTGCGAGATTTCAACATTAGGATGATTGAGTAAAGAGACAGGATGGACTTAAATCACGATAGCAATACTTTATTCTTTATTCTGGAAGTGAAAAGAAATGACAATGACAAGGTATACCTAGAAGGTAACCTCCAACAGAGATGAACCTCTGCCCAACTATTCTAGATTATTGTGATGACTCCCGATATGGTCCTCTTCTAGTCTAGGACCTTATTTATAATAGATTATTCTGCATAAATAAAGTAAGTGTATCAATATAAATATCCCATCCCCAAAATTGTGCTACTGTAGCCATTAATGATTAATCCCACTAATTGTGCTCTTCTTTATATTATGTCTCCTCATTGATTTGCTCCTGAATTGTTCCCATAAACCTTTGATTGCCTTTCCTTTTCCTAGAATATACTATCCACCCACTTGCACGTGTATCATTGCCGCCGTCCAACGAAACAGTCTTGTCCACAAGGCTGGTGTGGGGAAACTGATCGCGAAAATCCGCAGCATTCATCCAAGTGGCTTCATCGGTAGGTCTGCCTTCCTGGGTTATTTAATCGGTGAGTACTCGGCGAGTACTCGGCGAGTACTCCCTACTCGGCCTATGACCTTGCAGAGTAGCAAATAACTCGGTCCGAGTTAATTTCCCGAGTTACTCGCCGAGTACTCGACGAGTTAGGCAACTCGGTCAGTGGGTCAAATAGGCGATTTACTCGGGAGTACTCGGTATTTAAAAAAATTACCTCCGCTTGGAAAACCTAAAAAAAAACTGCGCTAGGAGCTTAGACCCAAAAAAACTGCACATACAAAAGCTGTGATTTTTCTCCCCGGAGCTGCGACCGGTACTACTACGACCTGCGAGGCTTGGACTGCTACTGGGGAGGACCTGCTAGGCTGCGACTGCTACTGCGGAAGACCTGTGATTGCTAAAGGGCTGCTGCGAGGACCTGCAGGTTAGTTCTTTCCCTTGTTCTTCCCTCTTGTTAAAGAATTAAATTGAGATTATTCCCCTCCCCTGTGACCTTGTCTCGTTTCTTATTCTTCCCAGCCCCCTACTGTCCTTCATGATAGATACACACTCACAATTTTGTTTTTCATTTACAGTCACGAACTCTGCTCAGTCTGGCCAGGCCTCTAATGGTGTTGAATCTACTGCTACTACACTTAAGAGAAAATCTGATGATATAGGATGGACATGGGGAGAGAACATAGATCCTACTAATAAATCTTTAGTGTGGTGTTTTTTCTGTGATAAGAAAATGTCTGAAGGGATTCACCGTCTTAAATGGTTGACTATTTTATCACTTTTGCTTTATGACATTTGTTACTCCATCATTAGGATAATAGGATTTCTATCCTTTTATTCACTTCAATGCATTTTAAGACAATTTAAAGACAATTTTATTACTATATTTTAAGACTACTATATTTAAATATATTATTATATTTAATTAATACTAGGCTGAGTACTCACCGAGTAATCCCGAGTAATCGGTCCTACTCGCTACTCGGCCCTTGACCGAGTTGCTACCGAGTTGCGAGTAAACTACTTAGCTGCCTTCCCATTGAACCAAAACCTGATAGACCCCATTCATTTTTCTTGAAGCTATAATATCATGAGGAACGAACCCTGGGTCTTCAACCACCAAATCATCTGGAAGTTCTGCTAGAGCGAGATAGTCTCCAGTAACTCGTTTGAGTTGGGAGACATGAAAAACTGGGTGAACTTTAGCTGAGGGTGGAAGTGCAAGCTTGTAAGCAACTGCACTGAATTTACGGATGATGATAAAAGGGCCAAAACATCTTGGGGCCAGTTTTTTATTGATCCTCTTCTGCACCGTGGTCTGCCTGTGCGGTCGGAGCTTAAGGAGGACCTTGTCACCCACCCGAAATTCCAAGTTGCGACGTTTGGCATTGGCAACTTTAACCATTCGCTGCTGAGCCTGCTCCAGATTGTAACGGAGCTGCCGTAGAATCTCATTGCGATCCTCATTATCATCTGCCACTGCAGCCACTTTAAATCCCCCGGTAAATATTGAGCCAGTGTTGGTGGTGCTCTTCCATACAGTGTCTGAAAAGGGGTATTACCCAGTGGCTCCCTGGAAGGAAGTGTTGTACCAGTATTCCGCCCAATGCAAGTAGTGACCTCATTGCTTCGGCTGCTCGGAAGTAAAACACCTTAAATACTGTTCGAGACACCTATTAACAACCTCCGACTGTCCACCAATTTGTGGGTGATATGCCGTACTCATCCGAAGTTTGGTTCCTAACTTGGCAAAAAATTCAGCCCAAAAGTTACTCAAGAAAATTGGGTCCCGATCACTTACTATGGAATGTGGTACCACATGTAAGCGAACAATTTCCTTGGCAAACACGTCTGCCAAAGATCTCGTAATAACGGGTGGCGTAGTCCCACAAAATGTGCATATTTTGTGAAGCGGTCAATGACCACTCAAATGCAATCGAATCCATTGGAGCGAGGTAGGCCCGTGATGAAGTCCATAGCAATGTCTTCCCATATAGCATATGGAACGGGCAATGGATGAAGAAGTCCAGCTGGTGACAAGGTCTCATACATATTTTTTTGACATATGAGACACTCAGATACAAACTGCTGCACCCATTTCATCATTCCTTCCCAGTACACATTCGCGGCCAAACGTCGGTAGGTTCGATAGGCTCCAGAATGACCTCCCATAGGAGTTGAGTGAAATTCTTCGAGAAGCTTCGAAATCCAAGGTGAATTGGCTGGGAGAACTATTCGAACCTTGTAAAAAAGTCGCCCATTAATCAACTGGAATGGTGGGCTGCTGACGGGTAGAGAAATCGCAGATAGAGTGCAGATAAGCATCTCTAGAGATGGCTGATTCTAACTCACTCCAATCCGCCCAAACTGGTAGAGAAATCGCAGATAAGTGCATCGTCTCATGTTGACGTGACAATGCATCTGCTGCATTGTTGGTGTTCCCCGGTTTGTATGTAATTTCAAAATCATATTCTTTCGGCAGGACCTTAGAAATCCAATCTTGTTGAGAGGGTGTGGTGACTCTCTGGTGGAGCAGATGTCGTAGGCTTCGATGGTCGGTTCGGACCACAAACTTTCTGCCTATAAGATAAGGCCGCCAGTGCTGAATGGATAAAACCAGCGCCATCAATTCTTTCTCATAAGCAGATTTGGCCAATGTGCGCCCGGACA